ATCAACAACAAAAAAAGAGCAAAAAAGGGGGGAACGTCATTTGTACTTGACAAAGTCCTGCTACCTGACATATACAAAGAGCATATGAAGGCTTTTGCAGCCCTAATGGTTTCCTCTTGAATTGGTATTTCATTGCCAAGCAGAGTGAGATGTTGTTGCGCAAGGTTGTTGGCAGTTAAGGTATTCCAGGCCGTGGACTTGCCGATTCCAAACAGGGAACTTTTTCCCGACTAATGCTAGATAGTTGAGGGCAATATGAAAACCTCCCATACACAGGACAATGTTCTTGAACGCAGCTGGAAATTGAGCCTAAAGTTGTCTGGACTTGGCATACAATGCTAAATCCAAGGACAGTACTGCGTCTGCTTGTGCCATCTTAGCAGAAACATTTTGGYAAAGCTTCATGACTGTGTACAGTGTATTGAAATCAGTTGCCTCTGCATTAATCATGGGGAGATATCCGATGCTGGTCTTAACTGGTTCTTCAGGATAAGTTGTCGTGTGGAAAGCGCTCCACCCTGGGATTCTCTGGTTGATACTTACGTCATCAGCAGTACGTAGCTCACCATTAGACTCGGTCATTCGTGTGAGTAGCCATGCAAGATCAACGAAGGAAGTCGAAAAAACTGTGCGTCGGGTAAACCACTCCATTTCTACCTTTCCTTTAAAAGTGGTAAGGGCAGGACGCCTCCCCCTGACTGTCACCTCTTCAATCTCGACTATACTAAAAGTGGGATTCAGTGAGCGTTTCTTGGCAGAATGGTCGGCGTAGACGGTTCTCTCGTTTTGCATTGCATTTTGATTACGCTGATAGACTACAGGAGTAGTGGCATGGGTGGTGGTATTTTTACCATCCAGTGTCTCCTCATTGATGTCATTATTGTCGGCCGCCATGTGAACGAATGATCCTGGTGAAATATTGACTGGTATAACCACACCATCAGCTTCTGCCTTTGCCAGAGTCTCATTTGCAATGCTTGTTTCTACCTGTTCGGTTTCGTCGTACGAAGAACAATGCCCCATTCGGTTAAGAAGTGTAACTAACTGTTTGCTACCAGTTAGGTGTTTAACTGTCATAGCAAGCCCCACGTGCTTTGGCACTTTTATACGGGCATGACTTGAGGCATTGACAATATCTTGGCCAATCATGACTACTTTCCTTTCATTGCTAGTATTTGAGCAGGACGATTGATTAAGGTCGAAGTCTTCGCCAGTGACAATCCAGCATAACACAGCCAGTAGAGATTTTTTGGTAGCAAGGTTTTCGACTTCTGGAGTGTAAGGTCTTGTATATCTAAAGGCAAAATTTCAATTCCTTGGGATTTTTGTACATCTTTTCTTATGTTCATGGCCATATGGTATAGGTTTTTCATTGACTGACTATCTGAAATTAAMGTTGTCTTGTCCTCGAAGTCATTTTTATCATGAATAGGGTCGCGACGTCCAGCTGTGTTAATGATGTCAAGTAGCGAGATCGCAGCAGAAAATACTATTTCTGATGTTGATGGTCCAAAKGGCTGATGGAATACAAGGCTTTCTCTAAAATACCCTTTRAGTCTCTCTTTAAGCTTTTGACGAGTATAGCTTCTTCCTTCGATCCCTCGYTTCTGAAGACCATCCTGGTATCTGAGTAAAAGCGCGTTCATGTCAAACGCTTTTCCGGCTTCGATTGCTGGTTTGATGTACAATAGTAATTCTTCAAACGTTTCTTCAAATGGGTCTGGCTTAGTAGTTTGAGACCTCTTACAAGATTTCACATTTTTTGCACTCACGTAAGATGCATGGCAATCTTTGTGGTACCTCCCTCCCACGGCAATAAGGTCATTGACGCTAGGTACGGCCAATAGGTCTGTATCACCTCTTTCCATTGCTGACGTTTTGATTGTTTCGCAGCCATTAAGAGAACTGATCGTAATGAGGTGCTTGTCTTTTTTTCGCGATGACTGTTTACAAAAAATACATTTATGGTGCCAATCAAAGGGAATACGCGGTACTCTTGACGCCTGACATGAAGCTTTATGG